GCGGCAGGGGGCGGGGGGGGGGCTGGCAGCGATGGTCCCGCTCAGCCCCTGTTCTCCCCCAGATGTTTTCCCACAGCAGATGGAGGGGGTGAAGCTGATCGTCAACAAGACCCTGAGCAGCCACTTCCAGGTGAGGGGGACACAGGGGGAGCCGCGGGGCCGTGCGGGAGGGGGGGGGCGCTGCCACCCCCGGGCCGCCCCCCGTCCCCTGCTGACGCGCCGTCCCCACAGGTGACGCACACAGTTCACATGAGCACCCTCGGCCTCTCCAGCTACCACTTCAACGCCACCTTTGTGGGGGACCGACAGCTCAGCCCCACTGAGGTGAGGCCCTGTGCCCCAGGGTGGCCCCGGGGACGGTGGGTGGCCCTGGGGCGGCCACAAGGCTCTGAAATGGCACCAGGATGGGTGGGGGCTACCTAGGGTTGAGGGGGTCCCAGCCTACGGCTCAAGCTGGGGTCAGCGGTCCCTGTCCCCCCACCTGACCTCCCCTGTCCCTAGGCCTTCCCCACGCTGGTCGGGGACATGGACAACAGCGGCAGCCTCAATGCCCAAGTGCTGCACCTCGTGGCCGAGCGCATCCGCACCAAAGCTGTCTTCCAGGTGGGGCTGGGCGGGAGAGGACCCCGGGGCAGGGGGTGCCGGCGCGTCTCCGTCACCCCCAGGCGGTGGCAGGGACGGTGGCAGGACCCGCCGCGGTGCCCGTCCCTTCGCAGACGCACCAGGCCAAGTTTGTGACGTGGCAGTTCGACGGCGAGTACCGGGGGGATGACTGCACCGCCACCCTCACACTGGGCAACCCCGACCTCCTCGGCGAGTCCGGTGAGCAGGGAGTCCCCCCACCAGCTGCCGGGCCCAAGGGGGGCCGAGTGCTGAGGGCTGTGCTGTCCCCGCAGTGATCCTGGTGGCCCATTTCCTCCAGAGTGTCACCTCCCGCCTGGTCCTGGGCGGGGAGATGGTTTATCACCGGCGGCCCGGGGAGGAGGGAGCCATCCTCACGCTGGCGGGCAAATACACGGGTACGCGGGTGCCCCACGCTCGAGCGGGCTGTGGGTACGGCCCTGGGGGTCCTGCCCGCCGTGCTGGCCCCGGGGGGACACCCCGGCTCCCCTTGCCCTCCGCTTTGCTTCTCTCTTCCAGCTCTGAAGTGGGTGGCGACACTGAATGTGGGGTACGGCGGCGCCCATGCCAGCTACTACCACCGAGCCAACGAGCAGGTGAGTGTCCCCCATGCGTCCCTGTCCCCCGTGTGTCCCCGTTCCCCCTGGGGCCTCATGTTTTTTGCCCCCCAGGTGCAGGTCGGGGTGGAGCTGGAGGCCAATACGCGGCTGCAGGACACCACCTTCGCCTTTGGCTACCAGCTCAACCTGCCGCAGGCCAACATGGTCTTCAGAGGTGAGTGAGGAGCTGCGCCGGCACCTGGCACCCCTGGCGCTGGCCGGGAGCTCACCCTGTCCCCCCTGCAGGGCTCTTGGACAGTAACTGGAGCGTCGGAGGGGTGCTGGAGAAGAAGCTGCCCCCCCTGCCTGTCACCCTGGCTCTGGGCGCCTTCCTCAACCACTGGAAGAACCGTTTCCACTGCGGCTTCAGCGTCATCGTGGGCTGAGGGACCGCGGGGGCAGGTGGCACATGCCACCGTCCTGCTCAGGGAGCCGCCGTGCCGTGCCACGGGGGGGCCAGCCAGGCCCCGCTCTCGCGCCGCAGTACTGGGGGAGCCTGCGGAGGGGGGACCTGGTCCCTCACGGCCAGGGGACACTGTGTGACAGCGCGTGGTGGCTGGAAGTGTGACAGCGCGTGGTGGCTGTTAGCGCCTTCGGGCTGAGGAGTGGCTACCGCTCAGGGCTGGGGGCCTCCACCCCCCGGCGCCCGCCCGCACCGTCCTCCTCGCCCCAGCACCGCATTTCCCTCTGTTCCCACCGCTGCTCTGCCTCAGTTTCCCTCAGGTGGCGCAGGGGGTGGCTCCGGGTTGTGGCGGCAGCTGGAGGTGCTGGCAGTGCCCACGTGCACACACTCGCGGAGCCTGGAAAAATAAAGGAGCTTTACTCTGCCCTGTAAAGTGCACTGGTAGCCGGTGAGCCCTGGTGCTCGCAGCTGGGGCCTGGCGCAGGCTCTAGCTGATGATTTCGGAGAGCAGCGGCGTCATGGAGGACAGGTCCTGGATGTGGAGGATCTGTCGCGTGTTCTCCACCTTCAGTGTCTGCAGCTCCGTCAGCAGCAGCAGCAGCTTCGCGTAGAGAAACCTGGGGCAGGGGAGAAGCGCCTGGCTCGGACTTGGTGGTTGTCCCCATGGCGGAGGGGACTGCGGCCGTGCCAACTGCCCTGGCACGTACCTGCCCTCGGGCATGGGGTGCCGGTGGTCAATGTAGCTCTTGAGCGTCAGGGCCACCTTCTCCTGGAACTGGTCGACGAAGTCCCGCTGGGTGATGCTGGCATGGTCTGGGGGCACAGGACGGGCGGGTGGCCGTCAGCGGGGCTGAGGGGACACCCCGCCGCGGCCGTCACTGTCCCTACCTGGCGAGAAGAGCAGCATGGCCTGGAGCAGGACATACTCGGTCTCGTGGAGCTGCAGCTTCTTCAGGCTGATGTGGAACTTGAGCAGCGGCTCCAGGTAGATCTGCTGAAAGCCGGCTGGGGGGAGCGCGTCGGTGACGGGCGAGCCAGGATGGGGACATGGCTGTCCCCTGCTCCCCGGTGCCGCCGTTCCCCCCCGCCTCACCCAGGGCTCCATCCTGGATGGTGTAGCAGTGCTGCCCGCACTCCCACGCATTGGTCTCCACGTTGAAGACGGTGTTGAACTGGATCTGGCAGATCTCCAGGGTGGCCCCTTTCAGCAGCGAGATCTGGTCGTCGATGGGCAAGCTCCTGCCGGGGGGGTGAGGGGAAGCATCAGGGCCAGGGTGGCGGTGCGGGTCTCCCGCCCATGCCCCCTCCCCACGGACCTGAAAGACGGGATCTCCTTCGCGAAGTTGATGACCTGCTGGATCATGAAGGTGCTGAGGTCGGCGAAGTGGGGCAGCATGGAGAAGACATCAGGCAGCACGTCCTCGTCCAGGCAGTCCGGCTGTGGAGTTGGCGGCCATGTGGCAGGGACACCTGGCTCTGGTGGGTTCTGTGGCCGCAGGCTGGGGACATAGAGGCGCACAGCGGGCTGCAGCGGCGGCAGCCAGGGTGTCAGTGCTGTGCCGGGGCACCCGCGGGGACAGCCAGGTCCCAGGGGGTCCCCGCTCACCCAGTAGTGCGTGAACTGGGAGAAGCTGGAGTCGAAGGTGCGCTGGTGGGCCGCAATGAGGATGCTGATGAGTTCCTGCTGCTCCGCCGTCAGCCCCCCTGGCTGCTCCCGCGCCAGCCGCCGCTGCCCCCGCAGTGCCCGCCGCCGCTGCAGCACCTCCTCCGACATGATCACTGCCACCCCGCCAGCACCGTCACCCCCAGGCCAGGAACTGGGGTCACCGGTGGCGCAGCTCCCCCCGGCCCCCCAGGTGCTCAGAGATGCCACTGCCCCATGGTCCCCTCTCCCCATGGGGGTCCCCCTCGTCCCCTTTCTCCCGCACCCCCCTGCTGTCACCTCTATGCCTCTGTCCCTTGCTGTCCCCTCACCCCTGGGCTGCCCTGTCCCTTCTGCCCCCATGTCTTCCTGTGCCATCCAACCCAGGCTGGTCCTCTCTGTCCCTTGTCCCCCCCCGGGTCTCCCTTGTCCCCCCCCGGGTCCTCCTCATCCCCTTTTGCCCCACGTTCTCCCACCCAGGTCCTCCCTCTCCCTTTTGCTCCATGTCCTCCTCATCCTCCCCAGGTCTCCCCTCTGTCACCCCATCCCCTCTCCCCCCATGTCCCCCTCGCTGTCCCTGTGCCACCGCACTCACTGTCCTTCCGCATGCCCACGTCGAGGCACTTCTGGAGGCGGCAGGCCTGGCACTGCCGCCGCTTGGCCTTGGTGATGGGGCAGTTCCGGGCGAAGGGGCAGGTGAACTGAATGCCCTTGTTGATGGAACGCCTGGGGGAACACGGGAGCTGTGAGACCCCATGGGCTGTCACCATGAGCATGAGGTAGCAGCAGCCATCCTGTCTTGTCCCACCCGATCCTGTCCTGTCCTATCTTGTTCCGTCCCCCTCCATGTGTCTTGTCCCATCCTGTTTGTCCCATCCCGCTCTGTCCCCTTCTCCCCATCCTGTCCTGCCCCATCCCATCTCACCCCGCCCTGTCCCATCCCACCCTGTCTCCTGGCTCCTGCCCGGTGCCACAGAGCAGCCCCGGTCCCCCCGTGGTGGCAGCCCCCACCTGAAGAAGCCCTTGCAGCCCTCGCAGGTCATGACGTGGAAGTGGTACCCGGTGGCGCGGTCCCCACACACGGCGCAGACCTTCTCCTCCCCGGGCTCCATGTCCTTCCCTCCGGGGACCCAGGAGCCCGGCAGTGGGCGGGGGCTGCTCTCCATGTCTGAGGCGCTCGACACAGACATGGCCGGGGATGCGGATGACGGTGCCTGGACCGGGGGGACTGCAGCAAGGACAGAGTCTGCAGGATGGGGTGGGTAAGCACGAGTGTGCGGGGTGTGCATGTGCATACACGTGCCGCGGCTCCCGCTTGAGCAACACCTGGCAGTGCACCCTGCAGGCAGTACTGCCTGTCCCGTGGCTGCTGCCCTGACTGGCTTCCA